TTCTTCCAAGGTTGAACTATGTTTATAGAAAATGTTTGCTAATTCTAACTAGTTGACCTTTAAATATAATCTCATAGTAGCTAAAGATAATTTTACAAGTTCACATTTGATAAATTACAAGCAATCAAATCAGGCCAGAGAGCAGACTGATTAACATAAATAAAGCTAGAACAGCTCTTTAATTTAGACTATAGGTTGACTAAGTAAAATCAAATTAAGAGTATAACCATGATCCAAATAAAAACACGAACATAAGTTAGATAATATAATTATTCCTAGAAATAAACAACTATTTTAAATCAGTGTTATCACTAAGGTATAATCACGTTAAACAAACAGTGTTAACAGTTTTAAACGCAGACACAGAAACTAAGATGAATCTGCCTTAAAAACAGAATCACCAGACCTCCAACAGATATTGAATTAACACCCAGGAGGTAGGTAATAATTAATAGTTATTAATTATTACGCATAAACAATTTAGACACGAATCATTTTATATCCCTAAAGTATAATAGCAAGTTAAACTTTAAACAAAAGCCGATTTCAGTGAACCAAAACTTATCTGAAATATAGACGTAACGTCCTTGAGGGGGCGGGCTAAGTCGTAACCATAGCGACAGAAGCTGAACCAATCAGGAAGCTAGCCTTCTCAAACGGGGATAAAAGGCCGGGAATGACGCACGCGCACTGAGCATTTTCCGGGAGGCACACACGAGGCGGTTTGTTCTTAATGCTCCATTTATATGCATATATCTTATTAATGTAACTGTTTGTCTCTGAATATCTGTAACCCATGTTGTGTCAAATAAATCTTTTATACGAAGGGCGACGCTTCCGCCGTTTTGAACACGACGTGGTATTCTATCCACAACAGTAGACACAAACCTCCTGTTTTCATTTTGAAGGTTTCCCAAAGAAAAAGATGTGAGGAAGAGGTGGAAGTATCTTTGAGGAGGATTCATCTGAGCAGTGAGGATTTTAAACTGGAGGATTTTGATCAAACTGATCAAACTGTCCGACTGAGAGATGGTGTGGTACCATCGGTTCACCTTCAAAGACTAGGAGCATCATTATAAGTTCAATAGAGTTCATAAGTTTACATATTTTATTGTCAGTCACAAGGTGAGATACCTCCATGTGTTTATATGTACAGGTAACTATAGACTGTAAAGTTCATATTCATTATGCTTTTTCATTTCAGCTTGAAAACTGCAGGACTACAGGAACTCAACAAAAAGCTGGAGCTGCTCTGTCTGTGGCCTCTCAGGAACGTGCACGTCACACCCACAACCTCGGCCTAACGATGTGAGTATTTCTATTTTAAACTTGTATTTTTCATTTAGCCTTTATTTATACAGGTAGTCTCATTGAGTCACGAGAACTCATTTTCAAGAGAGACCTGTTTAGGAGCAGATGGTGGGGGTTAAGGGCCTTGCTCAGGGGCCCAGAGTGGGGCCAATGAGGGTGGAGGCAGGTGTGGGTGTTTCACCTTTTCCACCCACATTTTGATGTTGACGGTATATATGTATATATATATATACATGTATACAAATGTGTATACAAATATATATACAAATCTTATGCATGTATTTATATATATATATATATATATATATAGTTTTATATATATATATATATATTTTTTTTTTACACATA